CCCCGCCGCGTGCTGTAGACCCCCCCCCCCCCCCCCCGCTGCTGAATGTGATTCATTGTTTTATAGAAGTCATTTTTGTTAAAGCAGCTCGTGGACCAGAGGTCCAGGACTCAGAACCGGTTCTGTTCCGGTCCAAACCTAACTCTCTGTTCTCTGTGTTTCCAGCTGTCGTTCCTGAGAGCTGCCCCCCCGCAGAACTTCCTGTTCAGAACAACAGTTTGAGCCTCACCTGTTATTCAGCCAGTCCCTGCTTTGGTGATGCGGACCCTATGTTGGCACCACTCTCTCATCCTGTCACCCCTGTCTCTCTGCCCCCCTCCCCGCTGAGCCCCCTGGACCTCAGCAGCTCGGCCTCCAGCAGCAGCAGCAGCAGCAGCAGTGGTGAGGAGGAGGAGGAGGACGGGGGCCGCAGCTCGGACCCCCCCAGTCCAGACATCGTTCAGCCCATCTACCGCTGCCTGAACTGCAGCAAGAACTACAGCAGCCTTTCTGCCCTGTCCAGCCACCAGCTGAGCCACTGCCACCAACTGCCCCCCCCCACAGAGTTGACCGCCCGCCCCGCCTTCTACTGCAAACACTGTCCCAAAGAGTACAGCAGCCTGGGGGCCCTAAAGATGCACATCCGCTCACACACGCTGCCCTGCGTTTGCCCCACCTGTGGCAAAGCCTTCTCCAGACCCTGGCTGCTCAGAGGACACATACGGACCCACACAGGTACTGCCCCCCCCTCCACACACACACACACACACACACACACCTCCCAACCCCCCGCCCTTGTGGTTCCACAGTGTTCAGTATAGTAACAGGATGTCAGCACCGTCACAGCACCCCCTGTTGGCCACTTCCACCTGACTGATAATGTTTGATTTCACAGATACATTTTACATTTCAAATGACCTTTGACCCGGCAGCAGAGCTGTGTGTGACGCCGGTTCTGATCCGTCCCTGCTGCTCGGCTCTTGTTGACCTGGCTGTTTTCTCTCCTCCAGGTGAACGTCCCTTTTCCTGTCAACACTGTAAGCGGGCGTTCGCCGACCGCTCCAACCTGCGCGCCCACCTGCAGACCCACTCCCAGGTGAAGAAGTACCGGTGCCGCTCCTGCTCCCGGACCTTCAGCCGCATGTCTCTGCTGCAGAAACACAACGTCTCCCGGTGCTGCCCGGTGTAGACCGCCCTGCTTCCTGTACGCCTGTGAGTCGGGTCAGAACCGAAGAGACGGACCCGTCCCAGCAGTTTTGACTGAGTAGATTCTGGTGGTCTCGGTCGGTCGTCAGCCCACTCTGGTCCAGTCCAGGGGTGTGTGTGTGTGTGTGTGTGTGTGTGTGTGTGTGTGTGTTCATGTGAAATCCAAGAGCAGCTGCACATGCAGTTAATTCCCAGGAAACTTCATCGGTGCCGGCCGGTCCGGGACTTTGTCCCCGCTGCAGCTGCCTGGCTGTGTGTGTGTGTGTGTGTGTGTGTGTGTGTGTGTGAGGCAGCTGTCTGAACACAGTGCAGTGTCGAGGCCGGCTGCTGACAGACGTGTTAGCTGTGACCTCGGTGACAGGTGACCCTCCACTCCTCTCCACACACACACATACCCACACTCCTGGCGTCAGGGGACCAGACGACCAGCCGACCAGACGACCAGACGACCAGCCGACCAGACGACCAGCCGACCAGTCATTTTCTGACTGTTCTTTTTTATCGTCTATTTTTGGATGAAAATGTTACCAACATTTTCCAGTTGTGTATTTTTGTACCATATGAAAATAAATTCTTTTTTAACTCGACTGGAGTTTGATGACGATGTGTTGAATTATTCACTTGTCAGAACAGGTGTGTGTGTGTGTGTGTGAGATGGGGATCACCTGCACACACACACACACACCTGCCCTGTTGTCAGCACCAACACACAGACCAACATGGAGACTCCATGACAAGGGGGCGGGGCAGGGTGGATCATCTGGGCTGGATCATCTGGGCTGGATCATGTGGGCTGGATCATCTGGTAGCAATGTGTCTGCAACGTGGACTGACCTCATGACCTCCACACAGTGACGCCAGCTGGTCCCACTGAGACACAGCATGTTCTCTGATGGTCCTCATGTGAGGTTTGTTGGGGGGGATGTGGGGGGGCTTTTCTAATGTACACAGAGAGCCACACACACACACACAGTCATTTTTTCTTTCTTTCTTTAGTTTCAGCTGACCCCCCTCCAGACCCCCCCTCCAGACCCCCTCCCCAGCAGTAAGAACCTGACTCTTGGTTCCTCCATGTCAGACTGAAGAAGATGAAGTCTGTCAGGACACCTTAAACTCTACCAACCCCCCCGACCCCCCGACCCCCCCATATGGCTACAAAAACAGCAGAATAACCCTGCTGTCATTTGTCATAAGTTGTCGCCGTTTTGAAACTGACACCCCCCCCCCCCCCCCCCCCCACCGCGGGGGGGGGGGTGGGGGTTGTGGGAGCAGCAGCTCCATCACTGGAACTGAACTGAAACTGAACTGAACCGAACTGAACTGAACTGAACTGAACTGAACTGAACCGAACTGAACTGAACTGAACTGGAACTGAACTGAACTGAACCGAACTGAACTGAACTGAACTGAACTGAACTAGAACTTAACTGGAACTGAACTGAACCGAACTGAACTGAACTGGAACTGGAACTGAACTGAACTGAACTGAACTG